TATTTCTATTTTTTGTAAGATTTTTATAGGCGTATGTTTTCTTTTAATACCCCAACTTCTTTTTCAGTAGATTTTTTCCTCTTGTTAAATTGACAACGAAATAAAACGTTTTTGAACCCCGGTCTCGTGACCAGAAAATATCACTAATACGTTGTGTGACAAGCCTTTGACGATCCAAGGTAAAGGTTCCAAGACAAGACCATCAGTTTTTGGTCATTTTGAACGGTCCGAAACGTCGGAGCAAGACAAAGACCCAACGGTAGACAGCGGTTGACACCATGCAAAAAACATCTAAAGCGAAACATGATTTCCTTTCAGTCAAATATCTCACCATTACCATCATCCTCACAACCTTCACCTTCGCCATTATTTTAAAAATTGTTCTTTAAAATTTCATTTATAGTCCTAATATTATTATTATTTGGTGATGCAATTTTTTTGATTTATTTATTTATAACAATATTTGTGGCTCTAGTCACGAAAACTCCATATCAAAAGACTGGGTACTCATCATGATGGATGTGAAGGCAGATGTATAAAAAAAACAAAAATAATAATTATTGAATATTAAATAATAATATGGTATTTTAATAAATGTAACAATGATTAACAATATCTTATGAATAAATAATGATAACTAGTTTTCAAGAGTCACAACAACAAAGTCTAACTAAACACTAATGAAAATCAATTAATTGTCAAACAACAGGAAGAACTCCATCAAAAACGCTAAAAATATCCTCAAGACCTGGCTGACATTAAAAGTATTATTGGTGATATCTCATCCAAATTCATTAATGATGGGTGAAATTACTTATCAAACATTTGGTCATACCATTTTATAAATCTAAATTAATTTAATAATGAAATATAAATCAAATTAATATGTGAAAATTCAACGAATAATACTTCAAATCCATAAATAAATAATATTCCTCTATTCGCATCACAACTCATTCAGATTGGAACACAAAACATCCAAGGAATAAATGATTTACATTTATAAACCATATTCAAACATAACCAAATAGTAAATCTGAAACCAAACTCAACTGTAACAACTCTAAGCATTATATGAGAAATTCAATCATTTTGAGTTCACACTTGAACAGCTCAACCGAGCTGGTATATGTCTTCTTATTTCAAAATTATTAGCTAGTAAAAATTGAAAAATATCAAGGATGCATAATATACTATGGCCTATGTAAATCAAAACTAGTTAATATATACTATTTATTTATATATTATTAAAAAATTTATATTTAAATAAAATGTATATTTATTATGTTTTCCTACGTTTACCAACATAATCTAAAAGTCTTATTCTGTTTCCTTAATTGCGTTTATTAATTTATTATCCGTTTCAACAAGATTGATTCAGGCTTGAACTGTTGTTTTTCTATTTTGTCTCTTATTAGTATTTCCATCTTCTCCCAAAAATAGTTTATCAATTATTTACATTATTGAAAAAAAATATTGTCCAACTACGAATTTCACAAAATATGCATGGAAAATATGGATGGAACGTATATGTATATGCATGAAATATAAATATTATTAGATTTATTAATCAAATTGATTTCTTATAAAAAGACATCGATTTTGGTCATATTTAAATTATTCATATTGATAATTGATTTGAAAACCCAATATTAATAATAATAAACAAAAACATTAATTGTTAATCATAATTATTATTATGTTTTACACTTGGAATACGAATTTAAATTTAACCGGACCAACTCTATCATTTTATTTCACACTATATATATACACACATACATAGATTATTTTATTTAAATTACTCCAACCTATCAGTAATGATAATCCTGATTCTGAACTTTCCTATAATCATCTTGCACTTGAGAAAAGCTACTTACGAAACAATGATGATGTTGATGATGTTGATGATGATCACAATACAAAAGAAATAATATTATCATCGTTATGTTGTATAAGTCATTCCTTTTATATCAAACCCCTTTCATTTCTGTGTTAAGAAAAACAAAACATTCTTTACACGTAGAAAAGCATGCATTGAACATCGTTGGAACATTATTGGAAAAAATATCCAGGTGTCTTGTAATGCTCAACATACATGCAAAGCTTTTACAACTCAGAGATCAATTTCTAAAAAGGCTGAGACAGATCACCAGCCAAGATTTATTTGTTGTTCTTGCTTTGATTTGCATGACGAACATCATCATCTAAGATCTGGGAAAGGAAGTTCTAAACCATGCAATAAACATGATAATGATGCAAGAGATTCTTTACGGTGTATAGGTAAAGGTGCTCAACTATCCGCTTCCAGCTTTATCCTTATTTAATAAAGATTCTCCAAAATTTCCTGACAATGAAATTGTGGATCAAATGTCATTAAAAAACCCTACAAGCTCTTCATTTATTTTTTGTAAAAACTATACTTAAATTAGCCAAGATGGGCATCACTGATGATGAAAGAGCTTCCAATTTAACTTCAGAAGAAGCTTACGGCCAATGAAAACACTTGGATTAGCAACATGGAAAAAAAAAAATTCTTACAGAAAATTCAGAAAAACTTACACAACCCGAATCTCTAAAGAATATGTAGAAGCATTTACTCCTTGTTTTACTGGCTTTATTAATGGAATGCTTGAAACCTTAAAGATGAATCACCATGAAGCTCTTCAGAAACAAAAAATTGCACACACTCATCCTATGTCAGAATATAATGACAAACATATTATTAAAACAACAGCATTCATTTCATCTGCAATCATTACTTCTATATTTAAAAAAGGAGGTATGGCTTACACAAATTTTGTCAACCTTACGTTGAAAGCCAAAATTATTAGATATCAAGTTTTTTCATACCATTGGTGTAGTTGGGAAAGGGCTTAAATGAGATAAATTTGAATGGGTCATACAATTTCCAATTTGTTTGGTGGTTCTTCATATATTAAAGAATGGAAACAAATAAAAATAATACTTTTTCGGTCTGTTGAAATTTTATGGAAAAGATTTAGATGTAAATCATATACATGAGAAGATGGATTTAAATTAAAATATGAAATAAATTAAACATATTATTATATTAAATGTTACCTGTAATTAAAATCTACTATTTTTTTTATCATATCATGTATACATTATTATTATATTTTATTATTTTCTTCATTAAAATTAATTTTTTGTTATTTATCATATTGTTATCAGTGTGCCAGTATGTAGTTTTGTATTACATATGACTAAAGGGACCCAGCTTAAGTTAAACATAATGAAAAGCCAGAATGATGAAAGAACAAATGATGAAGCAGCCACTGGTGGATTGCAATTTTTGAAATTTGAGCACGTGATGCAGCAATAGGAGGTCTTTAGACCAAGCCAACCATATATATTCAATATATAATACGTCACCTTGGCTGTGTATAATAACAATTTCAGTTTGCTTTCTCATAATATTTTTCTATACACAAGACATGGTGTGCAATTAGATTTACCTTCAATGGTGATATCAAAATTTAAAATATACATCTTTCTCAAAAGGGATAAGAGGGATATGAAATTAATTTACAGAAAAACTTTGGAGGAAAATATTAAACTTTTATTTAGCATCTTTTGTGGAAGTGATTCTACATATGATATGACAACACCAAGATGGATAATGTAAATTTATAGTTTTCGCATTTGAAATCAAATTACTTAATTATTTGTTTCGGATCCATCCATATAACATTTAAATGTAAAAAAGAACTCATTTATATTTTATAGTTTTTGCTATGACATTGAATGATATCTAGTTTCTTTTATAATGCAAGCTTTAATGGTCACACATTGACTCTTAAAACAAACCTAGTTTAATGATTCATTAAAGGTCAAACTGACCATTCAATCTAAGTTTCTAGTTGAAACCAAACCATTCAGTCTTTCTTTCCTTTTGTGAAATTCACATTGCTGAGAAACTGAAAATGAGGTAAAGTTAAAAAACCCAAAGGCAATCAAAAATAAATTTATAAAAAAACTAAAATTCCAATGCATTTTTATTTCTTAAAGTTAATGTTATTAGAAAGAAACATTCATATCTTCAAATAATCAAATGCATCAGCCAGATATTTAAATTTTAGAACTTGTGCTACTAAAAGGAGTTGTATTCCTTCCTCAATAACTGTTTTTTTTTTTTATATATAGTGATAAGTATCAATTAATTAATTCCATTCAATTTGTAGAAATTGTTCCTTTAAAAATTAATTGATATAAACATGATTTTAATTTAGTCATGACTATGTAAGGTATTCTCATAATTGGCAGTCTTAATTAATCCAATGATCCAGAAATAAAATACTAATCTTACTATTTTGGAGTCAATGGAAACACAACATATTGATTGAATTATAAATTAAATTTCAAAAAATAGTGTATCTTTTGTTTTTATTAAAATTAGAAAAGATCCATTTTCTTGCCATTATTCTATATGCTCCTGTTATATTATTAACCAACCATGCTTCTTTTACGTCCTCTTAATCTTACTAATTTAGTGAGAAAGTAGAATAATTAAAAAGATTTTATTTTTGTAAAATTTAAAAGTAAATAAAGTTTCAAAGTACCTTCCATCAATTTATTCAAAATTTCTTTAGAATTTTTGTGGTTTTTCTCATAAACTTTTAAAATTTCATTAAACTATATCATTAATATAAATATATTGTAAGTGTCAAAAAAAAATTAATCATAAATCCAATTTTTGATATTTTTACAATACCATTAATTCATGAGTAGGATGAGTACTTTGAAATGATTTTTCTAATACATATAAATCAACAGCTTTATCTTCAGGCAAATTTGAAACATAACTTAATCCAAAATCAATTATTGCTAATCCTTCAGAATTTTCTCTTAACATCAGATTTGAAGTGGTTAAATCTCCGTGGATAACATCAATCAAATGCATTTTTGCCAATGATTCTCCTATTTTTTTGATGAGTTTTTCTAATAAATCATCTAAATAATTGGTTATTAAATCATTTAAAATGAAATTTGAGTAAATAATATTTTTGGTACAACATTTGGTGGTTTTATTTTCAGTACCTTTGTGCTGATTATTCGTTGGATCTATTGATATTATTATGTCTTTAATTGTTTTGCCTTCTACAAATTCCATATAAATAGTACTATTCTTTAAATCAACAAAATATAATACTGGTGTGTTTATTCCTGATTTATAACATTTGAACAAACATCTTGCTTCCTTTTTTTATATGATATTTATTATTATTGAAAACAAAAAGAAATCAACATAAATTTTAATTAAATTCACTTGTACTTAATTAGTTAATAAATTACTTGAACAACTCTTTTTGATGTAAGTTTTTTATCAAGAATTGGATGTCGATAAGTTTTCTTAAATCGTTCTTTAACTATTGTTTTTCTTGTTAGAAATGTTGCAATGTAAATTCGCTAGAAAAAATATTGTTGTAATAAATTATTTATTCGTTTATATCAATTGATCCTTATTTAAGTATATATTTACAGCTTCAGCTCCTTGTTTTATTAAAGTTGCATCTTTTAACATTTTTCTGAAAAAGTTTAGTGTAACAACTAAATAGAAGTTTATATATATATATATATTTAAAAAAAAATTTTATTTATTAAACCTGTATGTATATATATGTGGCGGATAAATTTTTTTATAAATTTAAATAATAATAATAATAATAACAATAATGACAGAGCCATTGAAAGAGATTGAGTCACCACTACATAATAATGAAGAATTGGTTGATCCTTTTAATGAAGAAGAATTGGTCAATCCTTTCATTATATCGGATGATCAAACAAACGAACAAAGTCATAATATAACAATTGAAGCTGATAAAGATATTGATCTTTCTTCTACAAGCAATAATAATAAAGCCAAAAAACCAGATAATGAAGCAAATTCTTCTTCCTCTCCTTCCAAAAATAAAGAATCTAATTCATCATCAAAAAAACAAGAGCATAAAATAAATTTACAACCTTCTACTAACAATGGTAGTAGTAGCAGTAGTAATAATACACAATCATCATCTAATAATCAACAATCAAAAATATTTTCAACCAATACACTTGATGAACCTGTATCTGAAACAATTGTAAGTAATTAAGAGTGAATGTGAATGTGTGTGAGGTGTATATGAAAAATAGAGCTAATTAATAATTTTTACTATTTTGTTTATTCTTTAATTCAGCTTAGAGATTTGAAAAATGTAGCAATTAAATTACAACAAGTTCTTAATCCATTTGGAAAAAAGAATGTTTTAAAAGATTGTAAAGTGTCAAATTTTATTTTATTTCATAACGATAATAATTGATATATTAAATTATTTTAATAATTATATATATGACATTTTGATCGTTCAAGGGGATTTATGGGGACCGTTGATTCTTTGCTTAGCTTTGGCAATGTATAAAATTTACATAATTTACATAATTGATATTTTCAATAATTTCAAGGATTGATTAATCTATATTTTGATATTTTTGAACAATAGATTGTTGACTATAAATGCCCCACAAGATCAACAAATTATAGTATTTACAGGTGTATTTGTAATTGTTTGGTGCGGATCTGCTATAGTAACAATAAATGCTAAATTACTTGGTGGTGCAGTGTAAGCTGTTTCAAATATTGGCAACATTAATAATAATATTTAATAATAATATTTATATTAATAATGTAATTACTATTAGATCTTTCTTCCAGAGTGTTTGTATATTAGGGTATTGTATTTTTCCTTTAGTTATTATAGCAATAGTAGCGATCTTTGTAAAAGCATTCTTCATTCGTTTACCACTAGTGATTTTTGCGTTTGCTTGGTCTTCATATGGTAAATTAATGATATTTATATATTTTTTTTAAGAATTATCTTAATATTAATTATTATTGTTGTCTTAAATCGTTAAATTTAATTTAGCCTCAGTAAGTTTCCTATCAGCTGTTCATTTAACCAAACGCCGAGCATTGGCTGTATATCCTTTAATTTTATTTTATTTTATTATTAGTTGGATGATTTTAATCTCTAATTAATATTTTTATATTTTTGTTTATCTATTATCATCGTTAGTAATAATTGTAGTTGTTGTTATTTATAAAAAAATAATTTTGGACGTTAAATAAAAATAAAAAAATATTTTTATTGTAATAATAATAATAATAATAATAATTATATATATTTATCAATATTATTCTTTATCAAATAAAGTTTCCAAGCTAGCTTCCTTCCAAGCAAATCCTGATGCATTTCTATGTCCTCCGCCCCCGAAATGCTTGGCAATTTGTGATACATCTGCTTTCTCGTTAATACTTCTTAAACTAATATTATATTGTTTATCATTACCATCATAATACCAAATCATACTAAAATCACATTCTTCTACCTTCTCTTTACTTTTTTCTTTTTTGTCATTGTTATTAAAATTAGATTTCATTAAATTATTTCCTAATTCTGATTGCCACATAGATGAATTAATCACTGATACACTATATGTTTTAGGTATGATTTTATTATCCTTCCCGGCTTCTTTCAAGCTTAACGTCATTTTACGTTTGTATGAAACATTTTTTAGCAAATATGTTACTTTAGAATCACGATACTTTAAAATATGTGCACCAATTTCTTGGATGTTGTTTATTAAACTCTATTATAATCAATTTATATTAGTAGTTAATATATCATTAATTTAATTAATTAATTAATTAATTGTATAAATTGTAAAAAAAATATTTTTACCTCGTCTTCAACAAATTTGTTATATTCTTCAAATTCTAGTGGAATTACTTCCCAATAAGTTGAAAATTCTCTAGATTTAGGCAACAAAAATCTAAATAAATCCTGATAAAAAAACAAGAATTATTTTTTATAAATAGAAAATGCATCAAGTACATTTTTTTTAAAAAATTTTTTACCTTATCCTCAATATATTTAATCATTGATGGAACAGGTTTATCAGGCCAAAAAAATTCCCAAGCTAATCTAGCACCACTTTTATCCATATCAAAATGATAATTGCTTTTTTTTTCATCTTTATCACTAATCGATGATGATGATGCTGGAAAAAAATCCAGCTTTGCTGACAAATGATGATCAACAATAACCACCAGTTTTGCTTTTTTTTCCAATTCTTTAATAATAGATCTTGAGTAAGTGAAATCAAAAATCCCTACATGTTTATCGCTCAAATCAGACGGTGGTGGTTCATTATGTACTGCGGCATGATATGTTGCTTTGGTTCCGAGTTTTTTCCATGCCGAATAAGCTGCTCCAAATCCGTCAGCTTGTTAATAATTGTAATATTATATTAATTGCAATAATATAGTGTGTGTATATATGCATACGAGGGAGTAAAATAATATAATTCCTTACGACAATTTTTATGATATATAATATAATCTAGACTACCAGGATCAATGTGTGGAAGGATCTTTTTACTGGCCGTCTTCACCGTCAAAAAAAAAAAATTATTACAATTTTATTAATCTTTTAGCAAGCATATAATATGATTATTATATATATATACTTCTTTTACACTCGACATATTTCTTAAAAATAATAATTCGTTTGATAAAGTTTTAAATTTATATCGAAATGGTAAAATCATTTAAATTTTAGGGGATTGATTTATTGATTGGTTTTTGGGGGGGGAACACTTTGTTTCAAAAATTTATATTAGAGTGCGAACTATATATTGAAATCAACAAGCACTAATTGTAAAATAAATCAAACAACAATGTTTTCAATCAAGACTGTTAGAAGAATTTTGCATGAATCAAAGATAAAATAATTTGCAAATTCCAAGTCAAGAGTTGTAACGCGTTCACTATTGGTCAAATTATGCATAATCGCTGACATACCAAAAAAAATTTTCTATGCTTCAAAATGACGATTGAATAATTGAAAAAGCTGAAAAAAAATTAGAAGAAGTTGAAAAAGGGAGGCGTGGGAAATTATATTGAAGAAAAAAGAGAATTTAGAAGAGGAAAAGAGGAAAAGAAGAAAAGTGAGAAAAGTGAGAAAATGAGGTTTTGGAGTGATGAAAGAGGTTGCGTGAAACAAGTGGAGAGAAAGATAATGAACAAATTGTATTATCGTGTTATGCATTTCGTGTCTTTTTAGGTCATTGATAATTTTTCATTTTTTAAAAATACATTCGGAGATTGAAAAATATAAGCTGAAAACAATAGACTTGGAGAGGTTAAAACGAGTGGCAACACAATGGATTATCTAAATCCTACTTAAATGCTATATTTTTCTTAATTGACATTTTATTTTTGTTTGTAGACACAGCACTCATATTTTACTACTAGACCCGGAATTATTGGTAAAGAGATTTATAATGAAGCTGAAATCCATGATGTCAATTTACTTGTACAGTATTTTGAATTGCAAAAGAATTTATTATGCCAAATTTCCAACCACCTCTAAGAGGCTTGAGTGAAATTGGATGTTTTCAACCAGCGGCAGGCACTCTTTAAAAGTCTATCTTCCTATGGGGAATGGGTACACATACTAATGGCATTCCTGCTTCTGTTTTTACTCTAGTTTTGAATGGATTAAAGACCAGACCCGGACACCCACTTTACCGACAGGACACTTTACCGGCAGGACACTTTACCGACAGGACACTTTACCGACAGGACACTTTACTGACAGGACACTTTACCGACAAGCATTGTGTTAACAATTTGCCAAGAACTGTCTGAAGACCTGGATAACTAGCTAAAAGTTTGGTTTTTTACAGACAAAGTTAAATCAACCGTCAATTAACTGATAACACAACTTATTATCCTTGCCTTGCATCAAAAACCAGTTCATAAAGATACAATATAGATACATGTGTAATATTTTTTTTTTGTCTGACGAAATTGATAAAAATTGCATATTCATGTTATTTTTATTATTATTTTTATACACAAAAAAAAATTTTAAAATGAAATATTATGGGCAATGCCCCGAATAAACTCTATAGTTGATGTAATTTTACGGTCATTTAATCTGTTTAAATCCGTATTTCACAATTACTATCTTGTGGTTTCTGTGGAGGTCGTGGTGTTCCTCGCAAGACCATTTCTATGTCAAGTTCGACTTTACTTTGATTGTCGGTAAAGTGTCTTGTCGGTAAAGTGGGTGTCGGTAAAGTGTCTCAGACCCATTAAAGACACTTACCGTAAATGATTGGGTTGGTAGCTACCATTGCCGTAAATAGATACGGCTGTTGTATATAGCTACGATTGCTGAAAATTAGTATTATTAGTCATGCGAAAATTTCCTTGAACTATTTGTGATCTGCAGTACCTAATTTTTTTTGATGAATTCAATTAGTCGGTCATTCATTTACAATGAAATTATGTGTAAAAAAAAAATTTGCAGAAGTCAGCTATTTGCGGCAGTCGTACCTGTTTACAGCAGTCGTAGCTATTTGCGGCAGCTGTATCTATTTGTGGCAACCGCATCTGTTTGCAGCAATCGTATTTATTTGCGGCAGCTGTAAATATTTTATAATGGTAACTACTAGGGGTAACTACCCTATGGTAGTTACCATTGCCACAAGTAACCAATTACGTCAGGTGTCTTTAGAATGGATGGAATCTATGTTGGCAAGTGTTGTCTCGGTTATTGGAATGAGGATAATCTTACTGCTAAAGATAAATTGGCAGATGGTATAGGGGAGTTAGCTCGGCGAGTCAAAGCCACCTTTGAACAACAACCAAGAGGAATTAACACATTTGAGATCTTTGTAATATTTATCTCTTCAAGGTTTGTATATATAGTAGATGCTGTATCTGGTTTTACATGCTATTGTACACTAAGTCTGTCATTTATCCTCTTGAAATGCAGATTTTTTACAAATTCCTCAAATTCAAATTCAAGTTAGTGTGATAGCAGTCATTAATTTCAATATTCTTCAAGAAGGTACAGGAAATAAAAAAGTATATGTTTGTACAGGTTATAAAAAGAAAGTTGTGGTCAAGTTTGGAAGTTTGCCTGGATGAAGCAAAAATTCTTGAATATTTCTACAAAAATGTAGTATCTGAACATGCATTTTTTCCAAAATTTGAAACCAGTGGTAAAGTAAATATTGTAACCTTGCACAATACTACCGTATTTTTATGCTCTGTTTTTGACATGGCCAAGGTATGTTTTAATGACATTCAGATACATTTGAAATAGTACATCAACATGGTATTCTATATCATGATCCGTCAACTTCCAATCTTTTGTAGTTTGATGGTCATGGGTATGTAGGTGGCTGGATCCTCGCTAGTCTTCCTAATGAATCAAATTCAAACCTACCCAGCACTCAAAGATTTGCTAGCAATGGGTTTTTGATTAAAGCTTCGGTTTGATTGGGTTTGGCTGCTTTGAGCTAGAGACTACTTGGCGGTCCCTAGTATTCTAATTTTTGCATTCTGCTCATTAGGCATTAAAATTTGTTAATTTCTAATCTAATAAACTTATTATTCAATTAGTAACCCGGTTGAACAAGTTTTTTCTGGAGGCGCAGACTAAAGATGGGAACCGTAATTAGCCGCAATTCAATTTTTATATGATGCAACTAATTGAGAAGCATTTTTAGCACAGACTTAATTACTCAAAAGTGTTGTAGTTTAGAACCTGAGTTTACGCGTGTTAAAAGTTGGTGGAAATAATGAACTTGTTGTGAATTTTATATGTGAATTGGAAAAAATAGAACGTCGTTAGGGTTTCTATTTGAATAAGGTTTATTTGAATTATTTGTTCATTTGTTATGAATGTGAGTATTCGATTGCATTGAAAGTTTATTCGAATAAAACGAATAATTTAATATTAATATTAATCTTAAGATTGGGTTCTATTTATGAATAATTCAGATAAAAATTTGTATTTGCTAGGATCTGCGTGAATTCATTTCAAATTAGCCAATCAGAATTTTGTATCCAAACACGATCCTCTGGCCACGAAATTTAATCAATACTTTCACTTTATTTTTTATTTTGTTCGCCTTTATTTAATTCTTAATTCCATCAAATATCATACTAAGAGTGCATGACATTAGGTCATTTACCAATTAATTCATTCTCATTCATAATTAATTTGTTCCTTTACTATATACTTCATCTTGGATGTCAAAATAAATGTATTTACTAATATATCATGATCACATTATTTGTTGTTGTACAATCTTGATGATATTCAAATTTTACAAACATTATTATCATGTGACATGTGCAGACAATCACATTAAATCTGCGACAGAATTTTTTTTTTAAAAAGATTTCTCTGATATAATCCAAAAGTAAATGAGATATTAACTTTTAAATAGTTTTTTTTTTTGATTTTACTAATTCTTATCCAATTCTAATTCTAATTTTTGCTCATAAGACAAAAATTCATGGATCCTATCGAAGGTACTCTATTAATTATTTTAAACATATATATAACATATATGTTATTATCAATTAATAAAAAATACCCCCAAATTATAAATTAAATAGTTGATATATCAAAGTTAACTTTAAAAGATGAAAAAAAGAGTAATGTTTATTTGGAAAATTCCAACAATTATTTATTACCTCAATATAAAGATATAACAACTTTCTTAGATGAAGTTACAGCTGGTATAGTATATATAAATATATAAATACACATATACATATTTATATTATCATCATTACCATTATTATTAATATTATGTTAATCATTTGTAAAAGAATAGAATTTCAAATTGGTCAACTGATTCATCTTGAATCATTTGGATTATATGATGCAATGAGCTCAATTGAGGTTTCAAACATTGATTAATTTCTTATCAATTAATATATATGATTATATTTAATAACAGAACATAAAATGTTTTAAAGATCATGGATCCTAAGATGGACAGTGGAATGATCCTTGAAAGTGATCTCAAGAAAAAAAATTTTAATCTACAAGCTAGATTAAAACCTGAACAAGTTCTTGGAATAATTAATAATTTATTTATATGCGAGGTAAATTTAAATAAATCTTTTAATTTGCATTAATTATAAATATTATTTTTGAAAATGATAAAATCTCTGAGTTTTTCTTTTTAGATGACATGGCATTCTGGACATTCTCTTGCTCAAACTATATTTACATGCATGTACATACATCATATTATGGAACTTACTCCAGAGTTATTTTATAATAATAATAATAAATCTGATGTTAATGATAACAAGGATCAATCAAAAGCATCTACATCTACAATTACAACTACAACTGCATCAGAACTATTGCCACCAATAGAATTTGTAATTTTGATTCTTAAAGCTTATGTTCTGGGTACAATGAAATGTAGTCATTTGGTGTGGGAAGAAATGAGCAAAGGAAATGTTTATGATGTGAGATTATCATTAGATCTTTTTGCTTTTTTTTTTGAAAAAAGGGGAATATTTATGTTTTTTTATTTAAATAATTAAATAAAAAGGAGGAAGATTTTTCTTTAAATAAATATAACATTACGATTTATGAAGATTTTCCTGAATCGGAAGTATTAAAATTATTGGGTGATGCAGAAAATTGGTTGAGAAATAACGGTAGCCAATGGATACGCAATAATGGAAAAAATGGTAAATTTGATTATTATTTTTTTAAAATATATATATTTATTAATATATTAATGTGATATTAAATATTTACGTATAGGCGATAGTAAAAATGAAAAACTTATTGAAGCCTTATCCTCTCGATTAATTTTTAGAAGGGTGCGAATTTTTTAACAATTACTTTATTATATTATGGTAATTTTAGTATGTTATATATATTATATATATAAATATATTCACATTATATAAGTTTTATCTTTTGAATTGGTTTTTTGTCATATATTTTCATATATACACACATTCATACACATGCGCACATATAGTCATTTCTTTTAATTCTCATGTATGTGTCGCAACCACTTTGTCAACGGTATCCACAAGCTCAAAAAGAAATTGCTAATTGTAGTAAATTATTAAATGAAATTAAGAGTGAAGATACTGCTGATTTAGAAATCGATGTAGATGATGGTATGTTTTTTTATCTTCGTACTAATCTTCATACTAATTATGAAGATGATGATGGTGATCATATTGATACTAATAATAATTTAATTTTGATAGCGTTTGATCCTTTGATTAATCGAAAATTTGTATCACAAACACCACCACGACCAATTCAACTTTTAACATTACAAGAGGCAATTATTTTAAAATCGAAATTTGTTTATATAATAACAATAACAATAACAATAACAACTATAATAGTATTTAATAATAGGCTTTTGCTAAATTAAATAAACCTTTTTTTTTATAACTAGTCATTGGATGAAATGTTGAATTTATTAAAAAACCTTAATTCAACATGTCTAATCATTGATTATATATCAGCAACTAGTTTAATGGTAAATTAACATGATTGAAATTATTATATCTTAAAACTTTATACATGATATTTTATTTATTATTTTGATATAATATATAAAAAAGAATTTCTTGCATTATTATGCTGCTCAAAAACCTACATCATGTGCTTTCTCAAGGTCATTATTACAAGTAAGTTAATAATATAACTAATTCAATTAATATGATTAATTATTAATAAATTTACTTGTTTGTTGAATCCTGAAGTCAACAATTCGTTCGGAAGAACGTGTTTTAGGCAAAATGCCAATTTTTCAATTGGTAAAGGATTCTATAACAGAATTGACAAATCCACCATATGTTTATTTTGTATCAAAAATTGAACTTCTTACTTCAGCTGGTCATAATACAATATATTCAGATGAAGTCAGAAAAAAAATTTCAAAATTGGTTCATGTATTTGTTGACAGTTCAGAAAAGGTAAACAAATGGCTTTTTTTGCACTATATATATTGTATTCATTTAAATTTTTTTGTTTTCTTGTTATCATTAATTGTTATTGTTATTATTATCAATTTTTTAAAAAAGCCTTTGATGGATCTTTGCCAAATTTTATGTCATAATCGTTCAAGACAACGAAGAAATATGTGTAATGTTTTAACAGATTGGGAATTGTTACAAGAAAAGGTATATCATATTAAATACACGCACACACACATATATATATATTGAAAGCCCATTAAAAATTTTTTTGATATTAAAAAAAAAACACATTCATGTATTTAGGCAGAACATATCGACTTAGAGTTGCAAGGATTGACTGGTGAATCGCCATTAATAACAAAAGTAATCTATAGTTTTTTAAGAAAAAATGGTTAACACAAACCACTTTACATAAATGAAGTTTTAGTTTTATAAAAATTTTTTTAGGAAGGACCTTCATTTTCTTTTCACCTTTCTTCTTGGGTTTATCATCGGAAACTAACATTAATTGAGGACATTTTATTTATTGGCTTTGAATTAGAATTATATGGAGCACATGAATTTCCAATGATTTATTGGTAAGATGTGTGTGTGTGTGTGTGATTAAATGAAAAAAATCAAATAAATCAACTAATTGAAATTTTTTTTTTAAAAATATTCATTAATTATTAAAAACCCTGTAAACATTACTCACCATATATACAATAACAACAATAACAACAATAATAAATAAAGGTATATTGATTATTTATTAGGTGTTCATTATCAACATTTGGACAGAATTTCTATTCATGCAAATGGTAATTTTTAAAGAATTTCCTTTCCTCAATGTGAGGTTTCTAACAAAAAGTCAATAAATAATATTTTGGTATTAAAAACTAGACCATCGAAAATCAAATCTAAGAAGCATATCACTTTCAAAATCCATTTCATCATTAATAATTAATCAGCAAATTTTAACAATGGCTAAACAAGATTTATGCCGAGGAATTTATAGAGTAAGTAAATAACAAATATAATAATAATTAATGATTAATATAGTAATAACAATAGTAACAGTAATAGTAATAATAAATTAATTAGTAATAATATTTTCATAATATTGTTGTTATAAGGCTATACCAGCATTACAGAGAACTGGTCGTATGACTTCACCGGCACTGGAATTTGATGATGAAGGTGTACGTTTCATGCAAAGATTTCGAATGTACAGGAATTTGGGAAGTCCAGCAATATTCACATATAACGATTATAAAAAAGTGACAAATTGGGACCACGTTAGTGTAAGTTACATATAGAAATACACCATATATATATATATGCTTAATATATAAATATATTAATATATAATTTGTAGACACTGGATCTTTTGAATGCATCCTTGCAAAATTTTCAATCTGCTAAAATAACTTTGGCCAAGTTAAAAAATTTAAATGTATCCGAGTGTAGAATGGAATTCGGTGAAGTTGAATTTAAAGAGGTATCTATTATGTTATTTTACATAATAAATATGATCATTATATATATATATATACATATATTGATTTTATATATATATATAGGATATTCAAAATATGACTCGTGTATGCATTGCAAACATTATAAATCTACAAAAAATAATCGAAGAGTATAAAATCGAACTTGAAAATAATAATTCAACAAATGAAATCAATTTAGAGACACCGTTAAAATCAACAACAGCAGTAATAACAACAACCAATACAACCAAGCGAAAGAAAAATAAAAAGAAAGGTAAACATAAAAAACAACAACCTTCATTAAGTGAAACAATATCAACAACGGCATCATCATCATCATCATCCTCAATGGCAACATCGTCATCGTCATCTTCATCATCTACATCTACATCTACTACAATTCAGTCACAAAATAGTCCTGAAAATACTTTAGTTAATAAACCAGTGAATTTGGAGTTTATTTATCATCCATGGTATCCCGTTATTCAATTAAAACAATGATATTGTAACAACAATATAATTAAAATCATTATCATTGTTTGTTGAATAGACAGAAAAAATTGTTTTTTGTATGTGTGATAACTTAATTTACAAAATGTCTAATAGATTAACTAATTAATTAATAAATCCTTTCCTTTCTATATATATGTGTGGTAATAAATAAATAAATAAATAAATAAATAAATAAATAAATATTATATAATTATAGTAATGTTCAACTTGTAAAACATTGTTTATATATAATTATTATCAGTTATAATAGGAAATTAAAATAATTAATATCACACATATACATATTATTTTAGATCGATGTTTATGATTATTATTGGTATTTCTTAATAATATTTCTTGATGATGTTGTTGCTGTAGATTAATTATATTATTATTATTATTATTATCATTATTGTTATTGTTTGAAATGCTTTGGTTATTGTTGTTGTTGTTGTTGCTAACATTATGTTTTTCCTTGAGATTATCATTATCACCATCGTCATCGTCGTCGTCGTCATCATCATCTTCTTCTTCATCGAGACATGATAAAGATGACTCGTCATCATCCGTAAAACAGTTATATTCGTTTTTACGTTTACCAAATCGAATACACAATCCAATTGGCCAGTTTTTAACGGACAACTTCCAAGTTTGAAAGGTTTCTAAATTCAAAAGCTTTTTCTCAATGTTATTTAAAGTACTTTTTCTTCTATTAAGAAGATCACCAGTCATACATAATCTAATTATCCCGGGTGAATAAAGAGTCAAGCATTTTATTACTGCGTCACTAATGTATGATGATTCAAGTCCAAGTAAATTGTTTTTACAAACGGCTATCAAGTTCATAAGTTCTAGTTCATTCTTGTATCGAGATCGTAAATCTATATTATTTAATGGGCCCGTATGTTTGAGCCTTTTTTTTTTGATACAATCATATATTATATATAATAGTGTGGTAATGATTATTATTATTATTAGATTGATTAGATTTAATTTTTTTATTATTAAAATCCTCAAAAAGGTATTTATTCAATACGACTTACCAAAGAGGGTGATCTTTATAAAAATCAGCTATGATAGGAAGCAAAGCAGCAATGAATTTTAAATGCAATCCGGAAATATCCAATTTTTCCAATTTAGAAGTTCCACCGAGCATCCTTCTCCATCCAGCATAAGTGAACCATTCTGTGAGCGGAGAATCACACGCAGTAGTAAAAGATAACGATTTCAATGTATTGGAGAGTGTAGCTATACTATCCAATGTAGAATCGGATATTTCTATATTGTCATCAATATATTTTCTCTCCAAAACCAGTTCTTGCAAACACGGACAATTAATCAAAAGCTGCGCTACCCATACATCCGATAAACCCTCAAAAGACATGTGCGCTCGTGTGATTTGTGATCCATATTTTTCTACATAATGATTTAACGAATATACAGATTGAATCACTGCATGTATAAACAAACTTGGAGCATCAATGTTATGGTTATTAGCAATAATAGCATTATAATTATAATTGTTGTCATCATTATTATCACCGTTTGAATCACCGACTAGATTATTATTGGTGTTGTCGATTTTATTATCACTATTGCCATTGCTATTGATGTTTTTGTTGGCCAAAGAAGCCTGTAAAATTGATGGAAAATAAAGTGGAGTTAAAAAGGCGATCAAAGTTGCAGAGCAAGTCAACTTTAAGGCTCTTAAATGTTTATTGCTAAGTCCTTGACTTAAACATGGTGGATTCAACTCCAACACACCAGGAGTTTGTTCTGGTACTAAAATGCTAAAATTCTCCAGACAATCACAACGTGCATCTAATATTTTTAATAACACGGCAAGCCTATCTATAAATTCCTGAGAAACTCGGCCGTGAACTGTCAAGTTTCTAAAGTACTGGCCATATTTTGGTACTATGGTATGTAAAAAAAAAAACGAAATTTTGTAGACAACTACAGATCTGAAATGATATGTTGGAGTAAGAATGTGTAGGGAACGATGTGTAAGTGAAAGTTGTTTAAGATGAGCTGAACCAAGATATGAAAATATTTGTAAAAGTATTTCAGTAGGAAGAGTAAGGAAAGAAGTTCTTGGTTTTGCATTCATCCTTAATTCAGGCATTGATTGATAGAAGGGGATTGATTGATTTTGATTTATGGCTTTTGTACAATTTTAATTGTAACTTTAATTAAATTAACAAAATAATACAATAATGTTTTTTAAAATTTCTAAAAATACACAAAAAATTTTTTATTTATTTTAAACTAGACAGTTTAATAAGAACTTTGATGATAATAATGCCGATGGAAACTTGATTATTTTGTTGATTAATTTAATTACAACATTCACCTTGGGTATTATTCTATGCTAAGTGATTCTGTGGTTGGTGCTAAAAACAATAGTAATATTAATAAGAGTAATGATAATAGCAATAAAAAAACTACCACTACCACCAACACCACTGTTCGTGTTGATAACTATTAATTAATTGCTTTTCTGAACAGATAATTAGTTCCAAACTCGTAACTTTTATGTTTTTCTTTTTCTTTTGATTCAATTAAATTTTTTTGTTCTTTAAAAAATTGTTAATATATAATTGATGGTGATAATAATGATAAATCTATTTTAAAAAAATTATTCATGATTTAAATTACATTAATAAACAAACATTCAATTTGACAATATTTATTTTTTTATTTATTCAAATGCAATATAATAACAATTATTAAAATAATTGATTAAATTTTTTCATGTATTGAGTTTTTTATTTGTGCTTGTAGTAGGATCAATGGAATGTTTTCGTTTTCTCTCGTCACCTATTAAAATCATTGAATTATTATTATTATTATTATTATTATTATTAAAACAAATGTATATAATATATAATACAAACCAGATTCATCACTTCCTCCTGATTCTTCATAATCATCGCTGCTACTCTGTAAATTATTATTGATTTTATTAACGAAATAATAAAATGAATTCCCAACGTTATCTATAATAATGATAATGGAATTTACTTCATAACTTACTGAATCCAAATCCTTTTCATGTAAAAATGACCAGCCACCATTATTATAAAATCCTACTGGATCTTTGTTAATATATCTCATTATTTGTGCCCAATTTAAATTAGTTGTTCCTTCATAAAATAAAATATCTTTTGACTCCATCCATTCTTTTACACCTTCTAATTGATGCATTGGAATGGTGTCAATATGCATTGGTGGGCATGTATAATCTTTGAAAATTAACACCATGTTGAAATTTTTAAATCCATGTTGTATTCTTTCCAAGTTCACTACTTCTACATCAGACATAGTTATAACTAAAAATGGCAAATCTACTAAATGAACAAGACAGTCAGTTGTTGGTTGTAATAATACATTGGTTTTAAATGGAAAACTGAAGAATCCAATATCTCTAAAAGGAACATCCACATGTACTTTTTCATTACTGGACTCTGCAATTTTATTGGCAAAGCTTTTAAAATTTTTATTTAACAAGAATTGTCTTCTATGATCCTTTAGCTCTGAACCAACCTCTTCTTCATCAACATACTTGGTCTTTCTTTTACCATAATCAGTCTCATCAAATTGAGCATCAGACGTTTCACGGAAAAACTGAATGTCTTTGGCCTTTTCCTTTCCAAAGACTATTGGATTGATTAAATGTATGTGCAAAATTACAATCAACTCATAGTCACAAGGTTGGAAAAATAAATGTTTAATATTGCTATATAGCATGTCTATTTTCTGGTTTGAATGACAAGACACATAACGAATGCCATTTTCATGAATCTGCAAGTCACCAGGTACTTTTTTCCCCTCCAATTCTGGCCTCACAAAAACATCTGCTAGTATATGTTCTGCTTTTTTAGTCAAGTTTTTCTTGACTTTAACTATTTGTTCATATACTTCAATCACATTGTCTCTTTTCCCTCGAGATGGCAAGCCAAGCCATCAATTTGTTTCTGTCTTGCTAATTCAGCTTGATGCTGTTTTCTCATTAAACATATGTGCACTAACCCAATTTTTGTAGATCTATTATAGGGAAATCGAATTTCTGATTTTTTAATGTGTAACCAAGAAAATTAAAAAAATAATTTTGTCATTTACAAGAGTGTCTCTGCCTAAGTATATAAATATATAAGATATATATACTTGACAAGTATGCCTAATGCCAATTACCCTGCATCTAAAATTCTCCAGCTTAATCAAAATAATACTTGTTATACTTATACTATTATCAAAGAAGGTTTTTATCCTCCAAGTGATATACTTCAGTATACTTCTCTGTGTTCTTGTAATAACAGCCAATTCAAGATCCCAGATGATTATTTGATTCAGACAAGCTGGGGTAGAGGAAGTTCTAGTCATACTGTACAATGTGAAATTAATTATCTAGAAAAGGCAGCAAATTTCAAAATTTGTTTTGGAGATAACTTTCAAACCTGTGTAAATTCTGCACAATCAGCAACAGATGCAGCAAATGCTTATTTGAAAGTAGGTTCTGAAAGTTCCAAAATAAAATTATATCAAATAATTAGTATTTATATTGAATTAAAATTTCAATTAATGCTATATTGTATTTCACACTTTCAAAAGGTTGCTGTTGGAACTCATGAATTGTTCCTCAAAATCCGGATGTTTGGATTTTAATGCTTTGTGTGGGGATTTCTTATCATCATTGTTGTTGGTCTTTTCAACCCTCGGACATCAGGAAACTTTTCCCATCATAATATTACATCTGTAAGTTTTAATATGAAATGTCGTAATATTTCGCATAAAAAGGACATAATATTTACACTGAATGTAATAATTGCATAATTTTTGTGCAATTTTTGCATAATATTACACTATTTACGTAAGTTTATGGCGGGCCCCATAATATTATGTAAATTTGCATCAGAAAAAATTTCCTGATGTATTTATCAACAAAAATACAAAAAGATGATAACTTTAATATTTTATAATGGTAGAAAGACCATCAACATGTTTATCCAAGACTTTCAAGGTTTGCTGCCCATTATATGTTCCAGTGCATCTAGTGAAAGAGTGTTTAGTGCAGCTGGACTTGCAGTTAATGAGCTTCACTCAAATTTAAATACACAAACAATTGATAGTATTCTTGTATTAAGAAGCTCATTATAGTAAAATTTTCTTTCTTGTAACTAACAATTGCAATAAAAGTTATTTTTTAAATAAAATTGTGCTACAGCATTGTTAAAAAACAGGTTGAGTTCGGTTTTGGGATTGAAATTTCTTGCGTACAAGTTGGGTTCAGGTTGGGTAATCATTCAATTATGATGACCCATACAGGCCTCTATTATGGTTTTAGTGATGCTCTTAGTAAAAAAACAGAAGAATAAAATAAGAAAATTCTTAAATTGCACCCAAAAATTTTTAGCATTCATATTCAGGAGAAATTTCCATTTTTTTTCAGACCCTATTTCTGCCCTAGTACTGACAACTTATATTCATTGTGACGATCGAGATCTATGATTTTTATCATGTAACAAACCTTTTTTTTAATGGTGCAGAACCTCTTAAACCACCATTTACTGCACCTCGTGGCCACAATTTTTCGATTTATCTACAGTGCAGATCATCTATAATCATTAATCGCTTATAGTAACAATTGGTCAACTTCAAAATACTAAAATTATATCATTTTAAAAAATTTAACTGATAAGTTTATTGTTCATGACTCAAGCTTCAAAACTTATCAGCCGGTTTTTTCTTAAACTGAAAATTGGTAGAGCCTTAGCATTCTGAAAACTCCGAATTTTGTTATACATTAAGAAATTGAGACTAAGTAAATTTCATGTAACAACTTTTTTTTCATGGAATATTTTCTACAACATACATTTGATTTGTTTGATTTATTTATTTCCTTTCTTTTATTAATAAATAAAACAAAAAAGTTTAACGAACATATTACATTAAAAAAAATCATTACCAAATTTGGTCATGAGATTCAAAATATTGTAACACAAAAATGATTGTTGTACTTCTGAGCATTTAAAAAAGGAAATTTTAGAGAATTTTTTTTTTAGATTAATAGACTCCCTTTTTAAAGCTGAATTGAATGGTGGTGGGTTTTTTAAAATCCAATATGGGGTGTGGACAATAGAAACAGACCATGTTGTGAAAAAAGCAATTTTGAGTTAGTATCACTATTATATGTAAT